CGAAAGTTTTCCCGCTCGTCTTATCGCACTTACTAGCTTTTCACCAGTGGCCAGCGCTGAAAACTAAGAACATATTAAAATGTGATATAGTACCTCATTAATAAAGTATAGTACCTCATTTTTAATTTTATAATATATTTTTTGAATATTATTGAAATCAAGTCAATTTTGTTGTATGTACAACAAAATTGACTTGATTTCAATTGACTTGCTCTCTTAATATCATCATCAGCCCTTTAACGTCCCCACTGCAGGGGCTCAGGCCTTCCTTATGGATGGTTAAGGAGGATGGGCCATGACCCTCCACGCTGGCCCAATGCGGATTGGAGGGTATTAACGACTGCAGGTGCAGCCGGGACCAACGGCTTAACGTGCCTTCCGAAGCACGGAGTAGCTCGAGATAATAATTTTTTGGTCACCGCTCTCTTAATAAATTTATGCTAAATAGCGTATGAGGAAAATATGTTTGCCAACTTATATCTAAGTCCTTCAGATTCAGCGCCAGCGAGATATTTGATATCGGCAGATCATTGAAAAGACTTTTAATGTATGTGACGATTTCTTTTTTTTTTTTTATTATTCAGAAACTCCACAGCTTATTTATAAATACATACTATAATAATGTGATGCGATAGTAACTTAAGCCAATAGGGATGATGACTAATTTTTGTTTGTTTGTCCGTCAGGTAGAGTGTTAAAAAATATTAAACACGTATTTTTTTATTTTTTTCGTAATTATATAATTACGGCGTTACATTGAGTTGAAATTTCGCATGACGTCACGTTAGAGTACGTTTTCTACTCAACTGTGACGTAGCGAGCCCCCTCTCTCAACTTTAATGCCTGTTATCTAAGCTATTTCTTGTTAATTTGAAGTAAAAAAAAAATACGTATCTAATATTTTTCTATTATCTGACTGACGGACTAAATAGAATTGCATTTTTTTTACCCAGTCATCATCCCTATTATAGAGTTACACAACTGATAAAAATAGCTTTTTCGACTAATTACAAAAATGAAATCCAAATAAAAGATAATAATTACAAAAACACACCCGCACAAGGAGACAGATTAGACAGATACTTTGTTTCGTGTAACACATAGACTACTTTTTTCGTTGAGAGAAAAATCTTTCCAACATTACTAATAAATCACCTACTTCACATTCAATTACAAGTGTTGTCCGATAAAAGATTTCATAATAATTTATTTTTGTAAACTTCACCAGTTCCATTTTGTCTCTTGGAACCTCGCGACTTTGCTATCTGAATTATCTGGCACCTGCTTATGATTATCTTCTCTTAGGTGAAATAATTTTCATAATCGGGTCAGTAATTTCCAAAATTTGCCTTTTGTAATCGTGTTCGTTGTTTGTAGAAAAAAAGTTAGAAACTTTACATCTCGATAATATTAGTATAGATTAATAATTTTTAATTATCGAAGTTCAACATTACAATTACAAAAGGACTAATTTTTTTTATGATTCTTACGTCATTTGTCGCTTAGTTTTGAATATCGTAAATTTTGAACCTAGTAAGGAGATTGCCAAAAGTGCCCTATACCAATAGATAATGAGTTATTAACGGTCCGGCAACTATCTAATCTCGTCTATAATTCTAGATAGGCTACGTTATGCAGTGTTTTTACACGCATGCGTCGCCGCGCCTGCGTGACGTCACAACACTTAGTTCTAGTTGTACAGTCTCCGTGGACCGTTGCTTTGATAATTCTCCTCATAGAATTGTTATTGTGAATATTGTGAGCTGAATATCATAGCGAATATTTTCTCTACCATAATATAGATTTTTGTGCTTTGATTAGTATTGTTTGTCTATGGTGTTTTGTACTTGTTTACGGTTGATGATATTGTCTTCATGCTGAAGATGGACAAATGGATTAAAATTCGCGCAGTTTTTAAGTAAACTCTATCTAAGCGATAATTATATTTATTCTTAATAAATGTAGATTTACACCTAAATAACCATTTCTTTGCATCGCCTTTCTGCAGCAGTATATGTAACTTTCGGTTATCATTATTATGAAATACTTTCAAACACAGTAAGAAATATTATGTCAACGAATCTAAAATAAATCTGCATAACTTTCTATTTCACTGACTATTTTCATACAATCAATTATTATAAAACTAATAGAGGTGACCGTGAAATCAAATTAAATTAGATTCAAAAGTATATGAGTGCTTAAATATCATTTAGTTATCTAAACTTTGTGCATAAACATAGAGGGCGATGTTTGAATTGCATATCGTATAGTCTGAAGTACTAGGCTTATTTGCCGATACGCATGCGCCATGTCCATTCAGTGCCCTAGCTGTGCCAGGTCGATACCGGGTCGTCCCCGGAGAAACTACGAATACATACGCATGTTGTCATTGACGTAACTATCTGATAATCGAATCGGTACGAGTTCTTCTTACGTATTTTTTTATTTTTTTGCATTTCACCTAAACTCGTTGGTGCTGAAAGTGACACATCGCATTTTTTCATTCTTAGTTTTAAATTCCAGTGAATATTCTGCTATCTGATTTGAAAAAGAGGTGGTTTAAAATCTTTGGTTATTTTATGGAATAGGAATTTTAAGTGATGTTTTAATATCGTCTTTTGTCTTTTGTTTTGTTAAACAGAAGAGAACCGCCACATGCTATCTTCAACTGTACACCTTATCCATTATTTGTTTTTGCATCACTTTAAGATGAATTGGTAGAAAATTTCTTAGACTGGCATCAAAAATTTACATTTATTTTATTGAATTTACAGTACTTATTACTATCGATTTTTCTCTAACGACTATTTTAAAGTTTAATCACGTACTAAATCCACCTTTGTGTGTTTATGCATAAAATCAAAAAATACTTGTATTTGATAAAAATGGATTTCCATATATAGAGTTTTACTTTACACTCCTAAGCTCTACATTCTTATTAATATAAATGTAAACTAATAGGTAATGAAAGATTTGATTGATTTTAAAGCTTGCTTTATAATTTAAACGTTTTGACCTTAAAGATTCTTTATTTATTTTACCTTCCTCTATTACTATTACTTCAAAGACGACCTTGTGCTTAATCATAATTTTAGTTGTGGTTTCGGTTAACTAAACTATCATGTTCGTTCCAGGTTTGTTTGTTTATTTATTACTAATTGATTTTCCGCAAATTCGTCCGCGTAAATTATAACCTATGTCAGTCACTCGCGTATGATGTAGATTTCCGTAGGTGAAAGATTTTTCATGAACAGCAGCTTGCAAAGATTACCCCTAAAAACAAAGTTAGTAACTTCACCTCTTTAAAATATTAGCATAGCTTTATGTTATTGATATATATTATGCCAAAAGCACACAAGTTAATGTGGCAGTTGATAATCGGTTAGTGATTACAATGTTAATTGTGGAAATCACTCATTTTTAAACCCTATCAGCATACATATTATCACATAATGCAAACACCACACATTTGCAATTTTTATAGTATTGTAGACCGATACATTGTTATACCAATATATGTTATTGGCAATTTTTTGAAGAACCAAGCAGCTCGTTATAATATTATGAATGTATGAAACCCTCCCCTGAAAATATAAATTATATCTTAAGGTATATCATAGTCACATGTATTTACAAAAAATCATGTTATACACCTTGTTTTCAAGGCTTCGTTATTGTATCGCGATTCCATTAAACAAAAACATTCTGATTGAAAGGAAACTTAACTTTTCCTTTAGAATCAAGGCTTTAATTGCAGGAAAACAGAAATGTATTAAAAGTCTATGTAAATATATTTAAATGTACTGCATCCAAATGTGATCAATTGCATTGGAAGATAAATCGTCATTTAGTCGACCTTTAAATCGTTGTGCTATGTAACCTCTAGGTAATTTGCTTGACCCTTGTACACACGCTGTTTTCCTAGAACGACAATGTTAATTGAATACTTGATACATATAGATTCTACAATCCATTCGCTGACGTAACTGTCTCGTGAGGCTACAGTTAATGTTAATTATCTATTGTAAAATTTACAACCTCTGTTATGTTTATGTGTCGCAGTATATTAGTTTATTAAATGAAAGCAACTCTACCATTACATTTATAGTTTCAAGATCAATGTCTATAGTCTCAATGTCAATATGTAACGACCTCACGTTTTTATAGTAGTTCCTCGTTTAAATATCTCTCATGTTGGATACATTAGTATGGGCAATACCCTAAAATAAAACTTTCCCACGTGTTATTTGATATTTTCAATATCAGCTCTTTTTTTTTTTAATATATGGATGTTTTTCGAGAAAGTATTTGATTATTTTATATGATGGTAATAGGGAAATCGTAACAGAAGAAAACCGCCACATGCTATCTTCATCTTCCAGCCTTCATAATTTGAAATAAACAACCAACTCCCAAACCACAGCAATGAGCCACAGAATAAAATAATGAGTTAAGAATACCAAAACATTAAATCACGTAACATTTATGACCTTCTATCACTTACTTTAACCATTCTTATTGTTATTCGATGCTTGAATCTTGTTATATACACAAAAAATATGTCCTTTATGTTTTTAAAAGGTTGAAACTATTCTGTATAGAGCCATTGGAGAGAATCTGTCTAAATTTGGCTGCTTTAGATGAATAAATTAATAACTTTATCAAAGAATGTACACTTTCCACAAAAGTGCCAGCCTCTTCTTCAGTCTGATTTATTCCAGTACTTTCGAGTCATGTAGCAGTTTGATATTATTTGTATCAATAACGAACTGATAATTATATTATTGTAGCTTATCTTAACAACCGGTATCAACGGATCAAAATGTGTGATAAACACAGGATATTGGAATTTTCTTCATTTTTTCCCTTATCATTGTAGTTCAAATTCAAATCCATCTATCAGACAAACAGTAGTAATCGTAGACGGCGTTCAATAGCATTAACCTGGAAATCGATCTTGGAGCATAGGTGACCGTGATTATATTTTATTTGATTGCTCATTCGCGTAGCTGACGCTGTACGGTGCACACGTGTGTATAAGTAAAAGTGAAGCGACACAGTTGGAGCGGATGCGAGCGCGGTAGCGTTCGCGTTCCAGGATGGAGAGTGCGGCACACGCGGCAGTGCCGCTGCGTGTGGGCAAGAAGATGCGAAAGAGGAGGGAACTGGATGCATTGGTTGGTGGCGGGGTGGCTAGAGGGGGTAGACTGCTGTCGGCTTCTAGTGACGAGGGAGAGCCGTGGGGTAGAAGGACCACTCGTCGGCGACGTACGCGCCCCTTCGTGAGGCTGGCTGCTGGGCTGGCGTTGTGCGTGTGCGTTGTGTCAGCCGCTACCGTCCTCTGGCTATTCGTTGATGTCAGGCGACAGATCGGATCCCTTCGTGTCGAAATGGACAAAGGTTTGTTCCGTTAGCAAACTTCTAAATTTTATTTGCAATCATGGTTAGATCAAGCGATTGTTTTTGTACAAGCATTGATACATCTCAATTTTTGTTATGGATTTTTAGTTTGTCTTATATGTATTTTTGTTAGTTTCGTCATTAAGGTATGATTAGGATATTGGTATGCCTTACTAATTTTATATTTTTTCTCACTTCGACGAATTGAAGATCTGCACTAGTTAAATAAACGTTTTTTTTTATTAAAGAAGACACCTTTCTGGTTTATCTTTCTAACTACAATTAAAATACCTATGAGTAATGATTTTTGTCGTATCAATCAAGCAGTAGGTCACCAGAAACATTAAATCCTATTAATATTATAAAGGCGAAAGTTTGTAAGTATGGATGTATGGATGTTTGTTACTCTTTCACGAAAAAACTACTGGACGGATTTGGATAAAACTTTACAGCAATATAGGTTATACATCAGAATAACACATAGGGTACTTTTTACTGGGAAAACTTCTCACTCCCACGGGATACCGACTTCCACGCGGACGAAGTCGCGGGCGTCCACTAGTTTAAATATAATTTACCTCTTAGAATTTAGATAACTTATTTTTGGTACTCTGGTATATTTGTTTTTAATTTGTTAGATCATGTATTTCATATATCGCATTGCTAAAACACCGTATTCGACATGCGTTTGTTGTACGTAGGTAAAAAAATAACGTATTAAATATTAGTTGTTATTACCACATATTGTTTTTTTTGCATTTTTTTCAATGAACGTAGAATATATAAATAGTACCAAATAACTTCTTTTTCGGTTTAAATGTAAATATTCATGTGAAGGTGCTTTATGGTTGTGTTAGAGCATAAGAAACTTTTTGTTTGTTTTGATTTAGATAGCGAAAATTCCAAAGTATTCAAACTTTATTATGACCTCCTTTAATAAAATGACAAAAGATCGTCATAGGCCTTCGGCATTTTCTTTCCTTCGCGTCATGAAAGCAGTCGTAATTGTTTTCTTTTCGTTTATTTGACATTGACTCTTCCTTGAATTAATGTCAGGACTCCATAAACGGTAAAAGTAGTTGCAACAACTTTGTTGAAAGTTCGATACATACATAAATTTTATACAAAACATGTCGCAACGTTGACGGTTGCGTGGGTGCAACTTCTCTGAGTATAATTCGTCATACTCGAATCTGCATGCGATTTGATACCACCTACGCTAATATTGTTTGTAATTAAAATTTCAGATAGTGCGACCGACAAAACAAAGCTTTTGTCCGTTTGAAATAAAATTAATTCAACATATATTTTATTTTTATACTTTAGCTTTAATAATTTGAAAATTACGTTCTTTTGTCTTATGTATTTCGTTTTTAAAAAAGAATTTGCATAACTATGTTCTATATCAATATTCTGTTGTGACTTTTATCTAATGTTCAATACTTACGAATAAATAAAAATCGGTGCATAAGATAAAACACCGTACGACTAGTAAATAACATGTGGTCCTTTATCCATTATCATCATTTATTGTTGTTTTTTTGACGTGTATTGCAATTGTTGCATATTTAATGAAACTGTCCAGTTTTATAAATTGCGTGTCTCATATTGTTCTCCAGTTTTGCAGGTACTATTAATACGTTTATATGTTAATTGTTATGATATTTTTTTCCATGTTCAATAAAGTGGTCATTCATTAATTCATAACCCGTTTCCCTAGCGGAGGTCAGCGAGGTTGATGTGTTGCTCTCCCTTATAGAGATGAAATTTCGTGTAGGTATACATTGAAACCACAGATTTTAAAATATATACGCGACTAGTTTCCTATGGCTGCGTTTTGGCCTTGTATAGATTGGAAAGACGCTGCAGGAACGGCCATGAGGAGTTTATACCGCCCTTGAGCAAATTATTTTATTTAGGGTTGGCGCAATAAATTCCACTGCCATACTGTAAGCCTGATGAATGAAATAAGAAAATCGAAAACCTTTTACTAAAACATGAATGCCATCTATTGATTCTACGCATGGAATTTCGGCCTCATAAATCGTTTATAAATTAACTCTTAAGAAAGGAACCGTAAATTAGGTTTATGCCTAATTTTACTGCCATTTTATGCTTGAGTGCGTTTTATATTTTTATGTTATATTTATTTTTATAAGCACTAAATCAACATTTTTAAAATAAAAATAAGTAGGTACTTGGCGACTATAATAATCTTTGTTTTTGTTAAATTTCATTCTAGCGATATACTAATATTTACTAACTAGCTTTTGCCCGATACTTCGTTCGCGTGGTAAAGTTACTTTGAGCAGCATTACTAACGAATATTTATTCATTATATCGTTTAAAATACCTAAAATAAAGTTTCATCCCCTATTTTATCCAAATATAAAATTGATTGAATTATATTGAATTGAATTATTATATGATTGAATTGAATTATATAAAATTGATCAAAATTGCCTACGTCATAGTTGCTTTATGCATGCAAAGTCTCAGCCCGATCGGTTTAAAATTGACGAAAGTTTCATACAAACTTTCATCCCCTATTTTATCCACTTGGGGGTAGAATTGATCAAAATACTTTCTTAGCGGATGCCTGCGTCATAACGTCTACCTGCATGCCGAATTTCAGCCCGATCCGTCCAGTGGTTTGGGCTGTGCGTTGATAGATCACTATGTCAGTCAGGCACCTTTTAGTTATTTATATTTAGATGGAGTAATTTGTCAAAATGGGAACGAAAAACAATATCGACTCTGGAAATTAAACACTTAGTAATCTGCAAAACCAAAATGGATATTGAAACAGGAAAATCCTAATATTTTTCAAAAAAAATACATTATATATATATATATATATATATATATATATATATATATATATATATATATATATATATACCCGTATAAATTGACTAAGAAACACCTTATTTGTTACCATGGACATTTATAGAAAAAAAGAAACGTATTTATTCAGTGACCATACAAGTAAAAAAAAAAGACAAAAAGAATATAATACTATAAAGACACTGAAAAGGCAGCCACTCAGCATGTGTCGGATGTCTTAGACAGTCCGACGCTGATCTTCCGTGGCAACCTTATATTCTTGAGAGCACTACTACGCCACGCTCATACCTCTCCTAACAATATTTAAATATAATAAACTAAAAATGCAATAAAAGTACATAAAAATATCATATTACAACCAATAAATACACAAATATTTCAATAAGTCACTCCTTGCAGAGCTCCCACCCACGCAGAAATTAGAAAGCAGCCCACAATCATAAGGTTTTAGCCTGTTGTAGATTCAGTTAGAATTGTTTAAAATTAATTTAAAACTCCCATAGGAATTATTTATCGAAAAAAATAAAAGCTTTTCTGCTCTGAAGAACAATTTTGGTTTTGCGGGTAACTACTTGTTTGCATGTTTGAAAGCGGAAAATTGTGAAATTAAAAATTGGCTTGATAAAAAAATTATAACATTCAATTATTTCAATTTATGTGAATAAATTTTCACTTAAGAAGGTGTCAAGTTATATTTATATTTGAAATAGATTTTACTTATATCACATTTTTGGTCAAAGCCTGCATTATAAATGTTGCACTTATTGTTGACCAAACTTGTTCATCTTGAGTGTTTACTCTAGACGTTTAACAGATTTCTCGTCAGATTTTCTTTGGAGTCATTACTCGAATCAAATGAAACTAAAAAAATCAAACATTTAACCCAGTGGCACAAACGTCCATTAAAATTGACATTAAATAGCATGATAGTTATTTTCATTGACGAAATTCAAATAGAAATTTCATCTTCTATTTTAATCCCTTCCAACCCTTTTTTCGCGATAAAAAGTAGGTCCTTCCCAATATGAACTGTATCCATATAGGTACCAAATTTAATTTAAATAGGTTCAATGGTTTGGTCATAGTATAAAATTACTATGGTTTAGGCGTGAAATTAAGGATTGGTTGATTAAGAAAATTATTACTACAACTCCTTACTATAAAGCGGTTTCATGTCATTGTCTCGGTTACGAGGCAACTCATATTCTTATAAATTTCCACTATAAAAAAATACGTAATTACATATTAGTAGAAATTAAATATCGTTGAATTTTTTGAAAGGAACTTATATTTTCGTTTCGACATAAATTTACTCTTTGACCCAATCAATTAATCCACTTGAACGTATTAATATATTTTATTATATTTAATTACGGTTTCGACCTTATTTCTTTTGGTCGCATCAATTTCCTATTAGTAGATTGATTATAACGCTCGAGTGGTCGTTAGAATAGAATCATAGATAATAACAAAACGTCAAAGAACATTCTTTGAGGTCTCCGGTTGAATTCACGGTCTGGACAATCAAATTTGTTTTCTTCTTCATTTGCTTTTCTATGCACAAAATTTAATATGTGCCCTTTAGAGTATATCATGTTCATTTTTTCTTTCAGAGAGAAACGAGAAAAATGATGTAGATAAACATGAAACCAAATATCTATAATTTGTTTTCCTGTTTTCCTGCGACTTCAATTTATATATAGCCTACGTCGCCTGTGTATGTTGTTTTCGTAGCTTCCCATCTGTGAAAAAATTCTAATATACATACATTATAGATACTGCTATCCAAAAAGACGCACACCTATTTTCTTTTTAAATGCTTGTGCGGTGTAACCCTCTCGGGTTACTTTTATACACTTCAAAGCAGCTTTACGAATTAGCATTAGATTCAATGAAATAAGACCTTTATTACCTTTTGAAGTAGGTTTTAATTTATTCACCTTTAATGCTGCGGCAACTCTATGTACGACACTGTATTTTAAATAAAATAGCACTGCAGGCTTGGATGATTTCTATACATTTATTTCTTCTGATTATGATACCTCGAGTTCTTTAATTACATAGTTTGAGATCAAACTAATATAGTAATGCTGTCTAATTTGGACGATACGCGGATACTTTTCATTATTTTAAGATAATTTACTGAAATGGTCATTCGTAATTCATAAACTGGTTAATAGAAGTTTATCCAGTAATCTGTAATTTTCTACATAAATAATACTAGCTTTTGCCCGCGACTTCGTCCGCGTGGTAAATTACTTTGAGCGGCATTTCTAACGAATATTTATTCATTATATCGTGTAAAACACCTGAAAAAGAAGTCTTTTCCTAGCTTATGCCCTGAGGGGTGGAATTTATCAAAATCCTTTCTAAGGGGATGCTTACGTCATAGTAGCTTTATGCATGCAAAGTCTCAGCCCCTAAAATTGACAAAGTTTCATACAAACTTTCATCCCCTATTTTATCCCCTTAGGGGTGGAATCAATCAAAATCCTTTTTAGAGAATGCCTACGTCATAGTAGCCTTATTTACATATATAAAATCTCAGCCCGATCGGTTTAAAATTGATAAAGTTTCATACATAATTTCATCCCCTATTTTATCCCATTGGGGATGGAGTTGATCAAAATCCTTTCTTGGCGGATGCCTTCGTCATTACATTCTACCTTTATGTCAAATTTCAGCCCGATCCGTCCAGTGGTTTCCTTTGAGTTATATGTATTTAGATTATTTTCCCGTGGGAAAGCGTCATTTTCCCGCGGTAAAAAGTAGCCTATGTCCTTTCTTGGGTATTAAAATATCTCCATACCAAATTTCATGCTAATTGGTTCAGCGGTTTAGGCGTGATTAAGTAACAGACAGACGGAGTTACTTTCGCATTTATAATATTAGTATGGATGTTTATCACTTAATGTATTTTGTTCACAGTGATGACCAGCAGCGAATCCATAGGTGACACGTTGCAATTGTACCATTCAAAGGCGAAGGACCTGCAGGCGAATGCGAGCAATCTCAACGCGAGGTTGACAAAGTTGGAGCACGAACACCAAGAGTTGGTGAAGAAAGTTGGCCAAGCGACGGGAGACTTGGCCCAAGTGTCGGCGCAGCTGGCGGCCGAGCCAATGTTGGCGGATACGCCGAAACGGCTGGCTGAATTGCAACGTACTGTTGCTTACTTCGGTTCACAGGTGAACAATTGAACATTAAAGTTATACAGTAAATACAACTTATATGGCAACTAGACTAATTGACTGTTGATGATTTGGAAAATGTATATAGCCCATAGCCTTCCTCAATAAATCAATAAATGTAGTAACCAACACAAAAAAAAAAAACTATTTCCCGAGATTATAAAGTTCAATCAAACAAACAAACTCTTCAGCGTTATTATTAGTATATATGTAACAAATTGTCTGACTGAATTTTTCTTATCGCAGATCAACGGATTTGACGATGCGTTGAATTCGGCTCGCAAGCAAGCCGCCACTGCAGCTTCTGGTGTGGAGGAAGTGAAGAATCTTCTACACGCATTAGAAGCGAAGACAAATGAGACCATCGCCAATATATCCGCCAACGGCAAGATGGACGGCGAGCTCAAAGAACAGCTGGGTGCATTAAATAGTACACTCACACAACAGATGCAACTGTTGCAGACTAGATTAGAGGAGGTTAATGTAAGTATTTTCTTTTTAAATCTCTCGATGGCACTGGCATTATATAGATCCGGTTTTTAAAAAAATGAATGCGGAATCCGCTATTGTATGTCGACGACAAGATAACGGTGGATTGTTTGTTTAATAAAAAAATATACATAAAATGTTAGCATTAGAAAATCACAGCAGAAATATTACTTATGAAGTCATAATACTTTTTAAAGAGTATATAAAATGTATCATCATCAGCCCTTTTACGTCCCCACTGCAGCGGCTCAGACCTTCCTTATGGATGGTTAAGGAGGGTGGGCCATTACCCTCCACGCTGGCCCAATGCGGATTGGAGGGTATTAACGATTAACGACTGCAAATGCAGCCGGGACCAACGTCTTAACGTACCTTCCAAAGCACGGAGTAGCTCGAGATAATATTTTTTTGGTCACCCATCCCGTGACCGACCCTTGCGAAAGTTACTTAACGACAACGAATGCGGGCCGCGGCGCTTATCCACTACGCCACCGAGCTATAAAATGAATATATAACATTATTCCAAAGATATTAATAACGCTGTCGTGAAAGGCGTGCCAACATTTATTGATCACACCACGCCTCCTTTCTCATGTCAACAAACACCTCCTTTCAATTATAATGTCAGGATAAATTAAATTGATAATAACTAATGCATCTTTGATTCCGATTTCACTAAGGAATTAATCGAATTGAGAGAATGATCAGTTATAATGGCAAAACTAGTTTTAACTCATAGTACTTATTTGTTTCCAATAGAGGTTAAACTACTTAAACCTGACGTGACACTCCCACCTAACCTTGATCCGTTCAAGACTGTATTGTTTCATTGTCAGTCATATAATCCTCCACATTTGAATACTAGCTGCTAGAAATCGACATTGTATACATAATAATGAGATTGAATAGATTTGAACAAATTTACGAGTTAATTATACTTGTAATGGTAATAAAGTTTTATATTGCCGACTTTAGTTTCGATACGTTAGGATGTATATTAAATATATATATATATATATGACAAATAACACGGGTACAGTACTTTGTTACAGCATGTCTTACCGCAGTTGACTTTGTGCTCTACATTAATACATTAGAGTTTAAAATTAATTAGAGAAATTTATATGTTTGTATAACCTGAGGCGCTGTTGACTGTATATGTAATTTTTTTTTTTTTTATCAATTTCATGTGATTATCGCTGGAAGTCGTTATGAAAATATTTAATTTGATAAACTTTATTACATCATAATATTATAAAATAGAAACGTATACTAAATTTGAAATGAGAGCAGTCGTATTAATTAAGGATCAGTAAGTTGCGTCATACATTGGTTATGATTACGTTTCTGGTCAAGGTCAATAATTTGACACCGGAACGGCAAAATAATCGAAAAAACGCCTTTACAATATCTTATAATTACAAAAAAAAAATAGACCACAACATTAGATTGTGTTATGCAATGAAGCATAGAAAATATTGGAAAACATCTTAAATAACCTTTTTTTTACTTCGCATCGTAAATCAATTATATCGTATAAAATAGTACTGAAGGTGCAGATTTTGGATCTGTCAGTTTTTAAATTAAAATTTTGCTGAATCTATTCAGTCGATGTATAAAACGAACTTTTGTATATTATTTGTCATATGCTTTGGTGTTACTTGTCTTTATCTTACATGTTTTCTTTTTTTATAATACAAGGTATATTAGCTACTTAACATTGATGCAGTGTAATGTTGTCGTCATGTTTTCATAGTCTTCATTTAATTGCCTATTTAAACGGTACAATTATCAGTTGAAATCGACAAAAAAGATTTCTTGTCGCGCTTTATTGTCTCTGCCTCCCTTGAAGAATTACATAGCAGAATATTGCTTAGAAATAAAAATCCTCCAAACTTCTACGTTAAATTACTTAAAATTTCTGTAAAAATATAATTTTTCATTTGTTCGGTAGACTATCCATAACACGCACGAACGAAACTTTAAAAAATTGATGGACCGGTACGGTTAGGGTTCAGTTGTTTTTTATTTAACCTTGACATTTTAAAATCCAACAAAAAACAACTTCGCGGATCTTGATTTGTATCGTGTACTTTAAAATAAAAAATAAAATAAAAATTTGACTGCCTAAATCGAATTAAATAAAATTAAAAATTGCAGCTATTACATATTTGACAAAAAAAAAAAAAACAATTCATTGCAGTCGGGGGAGCGTTCTGTAAAACATTTGTAATCTAAAGAGGTCCCCCGATCGCACTGACAATTATATTTTTCTGCGACGCGGGGAATGAGCAACTTTTGCAAGTAAATTGGTTGACCAAAATTTTATTATCTCGGTCTCCTTCCTGCTTAGGTAGGTAAGTTAAGTCTTTGACCCGAGATCGTTAGTAGTTAGTATCCACCTAAACGTGGTTATGATCCGTTCTACCTATTATATTTCATCTATACGGAAGGCTTGTGCCCAGCTGTGGTATATTTTGATGTTCCAAGTATTATTTTCCTATAACTAATATGTTTGCTGATTGTTTGCAGAAGTTAACGAGTACGGTGGCACCAAGCACAACTACAGCGGCGCCATCGAGCAGCACCAGTTCTTCAACGTCCACCACCACAACAACCACCACCACTCGACCACCAGGTTAATACTTTATAATCAGCCTGGGCTTGATCTAAGTTAGGGGTAGAGGGGTGCGGGGCGGTTGCAGTAGCGTAGTTTTGGTAGTGAAAAATAAGTCTGCAAATAAGAAATTGTACGAAAACTAAAATTAACACGGAAATGAACATAGGTATTCTGACTAACAGATTGTTAGGGTTACTTAGGAACTCTAACATTTTCACTCTCAAAATTGAAATAGTATTAGTCAACTATCCAAAGACCGGTCGTTTAGGAAGTGGACGTCAAGCTATAGTTATTTTTCACCAATAGAGGGCGTATATAACTTTGTCACCGTATATTTAGCTCAGAAACGTGATACTTTAGAAATTAATACTTATGTGTCTTATGAGTAGCTATTTAGAAAAGGACGATCGATAAGCTGCCAAGTTCTATACTGAAATTATTTTATTTTAATGATGATGTATTTTTACAGGACCACCATCAAAGCCGTTTGTCGTACAATGAGGGAACAATCAAACATCTCTGATATATACTCATTACACCAAGCCAACAGGAGAATGGATTGCTCAGAGAAGATATTTCGTCCACACTACAAATACAGTAGGCATAGAATGGGTCATAGAAATGATATACCCTCCAATAAAATTGCTGTTGTTAAGGTAATAAGAATGTTGATATTTTTAAAGGCGAAGGGATCTGTCGGGGGGTAGATGATGACGTGAATCGCGACGATTCAGCCATATTGTAGTCTAAATTGGGTAGTCTTATAGTTTCGGCGGTGCCGCCACTGTTGGCCGAAAATGACGACGAAATATCTAGACTTTGCACGAGAATATCTTTGTCGGTTTATTTTGCATTTCATATCATCGTTGTGTATTAAAATTAAATTTGTACTTTTCTGTGTATCGTGTAAATTATGAATGCGTATATAAGCAAATTTGAGTACTATTACTATTTTTATATCGTTTTTAATATATTTATCTGATTAATGGATATATTTTATATCTATGTGGTTACCAAATACTTAATTAAAGAATCAAGGTCTCAGTAAAGTATACATAGGTCTAAATATATACCTATTTGGAATCCTTTCTAAAAATTTTAATAATTTAATAATAATGTATAAATATTTTCTCTTTGCATAAGTATTATAATAAATTATTTCGTTGTTATTTTCGGTCGCAGTAGTATAATTATGCCTTAATAATTTAATTTGATTTAAATAACTATTATTTAGTTTAGTATAGTTACTGTATTATATTTGGAGAAATGGAGGAGGTGGATACAAAAAAATAATTTAGGTTTTAAATTGAGCTGGAGGTTTGTTAGTGAGAAACAGATACAGTATGATACCAATGTAAATAAATTATTTAATAATTTTTATAGTTTAAAATCGAGAGTAGAGAATATGTGACCGCACTGAGTGTTTGAATTTGTCAATAAATAAGAGTGGAGTTTTATTACTTGTAACAAATTATTGTTAATAGATCAATTATTATTACACAATCGGATGTATTATTTACCTTGTTATATATATTCCATGAGCCTTGAGGCGCTCGATGGCGCAGTGGTTAGCGCGCTTGGTCAGCGATACGGTTGTTAAGCAACTTTCGCAATGGTCGGTCATAGGATGTGTGACCAAAATTTATTATTTCGAGCCGTTGGCCCCGGCTGTATCTGCAGTCGTTAATACCCACCAATCCTATTTGATTTTAATCAGGTTTTCATTACTGATTTCAATTTTTTTAATCATCAGTTGATAGGAATTTAATAAAACTAGGACTTTTTGCTATATGAAACGTAAAAAACTTAAGTTATTGAGAATAATCAGTTGAGATTTTGTGCTTTTCTCAGTTCAGAAACTGACCGATAGACTCATTACTTACTGCATGTCAATGAGATCATACAATAACCACGCAATATGGAGCCAATTGCCGCTAGTGTACCAAATCAAGAGTACGAAACGTCACAAGCGATTGCGTTCAGTAAGCATGCCGGTGCTGCCACCTGTCGCGATTTGAACCTTTAACTTCTTGTGTTTTAAGTGTTGTGCCACCATTTCTGAAGACATTTGAAATTAAAAGAGACGTTGACGCAATAATATTAAAACTGAAAAAAGGAGGAAAAGTTGAGATGACGACTAATGGTAACGTAAGGAAAAAATATATATCGAATTGAATTTAATTATACATATAAAATAACTGGAACAAGTTATTTATTTTCTATAACAATACACATTTACAATTAATAACATTGATTCAACATTAGCTTAAAGGGTTTTTTTATTAAGTATTTCATTTGACAGTAATTTATATTGAAGTTTTCCATACAAAACTATGGTCCGTCGAGCTGGATACTGCATAATAGTATCTATATTATACTCTTGTTATTAATTAAAGTATCTCAATTGTTCAAACATTTTTCGATCACAATTACCATTCAATATATCTAACTATCTCATGAACTGCTAATCGATATTTAAATAAAATAGTGAACAATATTGTAGTCTTCTAGTGATATTTTATAAAATATACAAGCATTCGATTTTAAAATAGATACATTTTTCGTTCTAAATTTCAAAAGTCCTCAGTGTTTATTTATGACTTAACTAGACCTATTTTTCTTCCGATTTCTGCGAAGGCGTTAACGGCTCGTTCAACATCTTGCGGTGTATGAGCGGCGCTTAACTGAACCCTCACTCTTGCACCTCCTTTAGGTACAACCGGATAACTGAATGCGATCACGTAGATACCACGCTCTAGAAAATATAGTAAAAAGTTCATTAAAAACGAACTTCGGAAGGCACTTTAAGCCATTGGTCTCGGCCGCATCTGCAGTTGTTAACACCAGCACGCGTAGCATGACAAACTCGAGGACGTTTTGTCTACACTCAAATGTCACCTTTCTCGGGTGCGCCCATACGATATCTCACTCTCGACCCGAGAAACTGACAAATGAATGTAGACAAAGCGTTTCTCGAGTTTGTCATGCTACGTGTGCAGGCCCGCGTGGTGACTCGGTAGCTCGTTCATTCTCCCTATTCAATTCAATTCATTCCATAGGGAAGGACCTAGCAGTGGTGATATTAATAGGATGGTGATGATATTGATTTTGTATACAAATGCACGGTAAATTATAAAAATCTCGTTAAATTATTACACTATCACAAATCTCCTTCATCATCATCATCATCAGCCCTTTTACGTCTCCACTGCAGGGGCTCAGGCCGTCCAATCCGCATTGGGCCAGCGTAGAGGGTCATGGCCCATCCTCCTTAACCATTAATTTTTTGGTCATCCATCCCGTGACCGACCTTTGTGAACCACGTTTAACAATAGCGATCGCGGGCCGCGGCGCTTATCCTTTACGTCCCCGGGCTTGTAACAAAATCTCCTTAGCAAAAAAGAAATGTCATTTGCTTGCAAGAGAGTCGTATCGTTGTGCTCTTATGTCCATTTACTCTGTGTCCAGGAAACACTTAGCGATATAATCAAATGGTAGCTATAATCCAGTCGCCGAATAGAAAATTTCGTACAATGACCCGGCATTTCTCCTTCATTCGTGCGCATACATATTGCTAATGCGCCCGCACAGATGCATTTAGCCAATTTTGTCAAAGTAAACATAAACACTGTTATTAATAAACAAGGTTTAGCTTTGGAGTAAATTTACACTGAAATGAAATGAAAATTTTTTTTTTCAAGTAAGCTTGTTACAAGCACTTTTGAATCTTCTAAAATTTTTTTTTCCCCTACCACTTGTTCAGAACGTCTTTTAGCTGACAAGAAGAACAAGCGAAAGAAACTTACTAGCTCTTTATCATAAGTAATGACATTTACAAAATCATGTCATAACCAAAATAATATGTATTATCACAATAATAAACAACTTTCAAAGTCTGTAGGTCTTAGTTTGTACATATAATTAGTCGTTATAGAACAAAGCGAAGGCTATTAATTCCATGCATTGCGGTCCTTAAAATAATCTGTGACTGTGACTGCGCTTAGTATTAGTCAAAATTCATATTATTAAACAGAGACTTAGCAAAGATTCTACGGGAGTAATATTTACTTTTAGAAGGCTACTACCTTCTAGGCGTTTGCTTCTTTGTTTAATAAGAATTTGGACTAATACTAAAAATGCGATGTCAGCGAAAATTTACTCTGACGCTAAACCTTGTTTATTAATAATAGCACATAAAATGTTTAAAATATCTTTCAGTAGGCGAAAATGCATGATAGTCCAGTTTCGTACATTAGAACTGGACTATCATGAATTTTCGCTGATACCCACTAATTCACCTAAGTAGTTCCAACCTTAGAAAAGTTAGGTGTTTATCTAGCTATGCTGATAAAAGGTTTATTTCATAACAATCTTACCTAACATGCCAGAAGCTAGTTCTACTGCAAGGGGTGCGTCCCCCACCATAACGGGACATATAGGATGTTGATCCCCGGATACTGTCAGTCCCGCACTCTGCAGTCCCGTTCTGAATAGTGCTGTGTTATCGCGGAGACGTTGACGAAGCTCTTCTCCAGTCTCCACCAGCTCTAGGGCCTATGAAATTAGAATATTTTAATTAGGTACGATTTTATGTGTAGGTAACCAAACGCAAAAAAAATCGTATCACCAATCATCAAAAAATGGGAAAATCACGGAATTTTAGTTAATTCTATGATTTTGTTACCACTGGTGAAATATATGAATATATATTGTTACAGGTCCCGAGCTTCAAATATATTATTTTGGGTTCTCAGAAAAAAAATTAAACGTTGCACATGTTGCATAAATAGATTAGGAAGTCAGACCATTTCTGTCATCTGACAGTAAAAAGGCCATTTTCAACTACGGCGTCTTGCTAACTGATGGTAGTCCTGTTGCCCCTTAGAAAGAGTAAATATTATCAGAGGGTTTGTGTAGGTTTTACGTTAACACGTTCACTAGTGAGCGCGTTAAGAATTTGTATGAAGATTGTAGTTTTTGATAGTTACCGCTAGGAGCGCTGTACCGGATTCCATACTAAAATCTTAATGCACTCACGATCACGGTGAACGTAAACGTAAAAAAATTGACACTAAGCGCTCTGTATTATGGTATTTCTCTACTTGAACACGGAAAGAGAACATATCAGAACAATTCGCCTATTTGTTTAAAACCGCACTGAGCATGTGTCAGTAGAGTGTGTACACGGTACCACGAATTTTATTATATCTAATCGAGAGATGTTCCTTTTCAGGTAGCCAAAGATCCGTAATAGCATTAATCATAGCATTAACGTTAGACTTAATTAATTCAAATTCATAAACGGTTTTATAAACATTACCTTTAAAGAAGCTCCTACAACAGGAGGTGGTGGTGAATTCGAGAACAGATACGGTCTAGAGACGTTCCTCAATAGGGTGATGAGTTGCTTAGGGCCCGTCGTGTAACCGCCGGACGCGCCGCTCACCGCCTTGCCTAGTGTCGAGCAGATTATGTCAGCTGCACCCAACATGCCGCAATACTCCTCTGTACCCCTGAAATTATTCGATTTTTTTTTTCAAAGTTAAATATTATTTTATTTTTCTTTAACTATATCCATCAAGAGCTGCAAAATTTTGAAGCCATTTTACACCCAAATTTTTGCTACATCAGTTTATTTTATGGTGAATATTATTTATTTATTTCTCTTAATTTAATGTTCCTTTCCAAGGAGGCATAAGTAGGGATGTGGTATTCGCAAACACGTCGTCAATAAACAAGAATATTTATTTATTATTTTTGTTTGAAGAAGACTTTAGAAGCGACTAAAAATTATAACATAAAGACAAAAACATGTTCAATCTGATATCAGGAAAGGTTAGGATATGCTCTTACGGAAGTGTGCCATCGAGCCTTTCATGGTACAGAAATATATATCTTACCGTCCTGTGTCTCCGAAGAAACCAGTAGCATGGCTGTCGTCTACCGCCAGCAATGCTCTGTACTTGTCTGCTAAATCTCGTAAGCCTTTTATTGGAGCTACCGTTCCATCCATAGAGAACACCCCATCAGTCACTATTAACTTTATGCGGGCTTCGCTATGGGCTAGAAGATGCTCCAATTCTGTCAAAATATTAAATAGGTAATTGGTAATGCGTCTTTAAAGCCAAGTCTATTTCAATTTTTCATAAAATTTTGGTACAGAGTATATTACAACATGGCAAGTAAGTTTATGGCAAAATTAAGAATCCTAATTGCATTATAACAATATGAATATAACGAAAAAGCCGTTTGACCGACAGCAAATAAAATATGACCGGCTAACTAATTTATCAGAGCACTTAAGTTGAAAAACACACTTTAAGTAGTAACATAACAGCTAGGTAACCCTATTTTTATGGTTCCGTAGATATCAAGGAGAAGGAAGGGCGCAGTTTGAATATAGTTTCTAGAAAGTTGTAAGAAAATCTAAAGGAGTTGAGTTGAGCTGGGACCATCGTGTACTGCTACGACGCGCACACACATTTTTTTTCTAAATTATTGTTTTTGTTCATAAATAATACATTCATGCATTTATTTTGTTTAAATATGTCAATCAGGGCCTGTTAATTATCTTTCTCTGTTGAGTAAAAATGTATCTTTTAGAAAGAAATAAATCTATTATATATGTACCTTAAGTCTATTATCTTAAGATTCCTATTTCTATTTCTCACCATTGAGGTCTCTATGTGGGTACCGGTATTTCTGCGCTTTGCAGAGCCGAATGCCGTCAATGATGGAGGCGTGGTTGAGAGCGTCAGAGAAGACCGCGTCCTCGGGAGTCAGCATGGACTCGAACAATCCCGCGTTAGCGTCAAAACATGACCCGTACAAGATGGCATCTTCACGTCCATGGAATTGTGCCAAGCGCTGTTCTAATTCCTTTATATGTAAATCAATATATTATTATTGCATCTAGACGCAATATGAATAATATTGAAACTTAGAGGGTTTAAAGACAAAAGACTGTTCCTGAAACTGGTAGATACAAAAAAATTACGGTAAAGACAGTTTTTAATTAATAACTCCAAACTATATCAATTATTGTAAATATGTTGCATAATTCCTTCGACTACAAAGTCATTCACATGTTTATCAATTTTTAATCAAGTAACTGAAACTTATAATAATGAGAATACTTAGTAACTGTTTAATAATCCGCCATCCAGAGACTAATAAACATTATTCAAAAGTAATAAAGTATAAGTAGGTATATTGTTGTATGCGATTTGAATATTATTTGAGGCTGTATTATATATGTTGTTTAAAAAAAAAGATTATGGCTCTAAACAAATAGGTAAACGCTTTATTCACTTACTTTATGCAATGTTTGTGTCCCACAAATGAATCGTACTGAGCTGAGCCCCGCGCCATATTTGGTGAGGCTCTGCTTCGCCGCCTCTACCACTTCCGGGTGATTCTGTATATAAACAAAAAACACCATTTGAACTAATCTGATTCTTTTCTATTCATCCCGATAATCATATTTACTAATAAATCTTTGATATACATACGAGTACTTCGATTAACGTATAATATTTTAAAGCTTAAGTACTTACAGAAAATCCTAAATAATTATTAGCACAGAAATTCAAATATTCGCCTTTTGCGCCTTGAACAGTCACCTGAAATAATTAACAATATTTTAATTCAAATCATATAGATATAAAATACTAAACTTAAGTTATTATAAAATTCTTGACTTATGCATCTTCAATGAAAAGTATTCTAGCTTGCATGAGTTTTAACTAGGAAATTACAATAAAATGGTTTCTTTATTATCAATATGATAATTGTTTTCACAATGATCGTTCTTTTCTCAGCGATAATACGATAATAATGAGATCTAAAACAATAAAACTCTTTTCTCCACAAGGTCGAAATAATAGTACTTTACTGTACCTAGTGAAATAGCCATATTTTTTTTCTACTGAAATGGAATTAGGTACTCTTATTTCAATAGTAACTTGTATTTTTTTCAATCAATAAAATTTTAATTTTCGTCAATATTTAAACACTTGATGTAAGTAATATTTTTGTTATAAAGTTTGTTTATAAAGGCATATCTTTTGTATCTTTGTTCACGATCAATTCCAAATAAGTGATTTTGGTTATTAAATTTTCTTACACCATTATTATCCCGTAATGTATTAATTATTCTTCACCAAATATTTATATTATCGCTTATCTATCACGCAATCGAGTTGTTTACATCGTACGGGCGTAGCATGTGGTAAGTACCAACCCATGTCTTATGTTTGCGCAAAAATAACTTATATGTTGGCGATAGAGTCATTAGCATTCAAACGTTGTCTACATGATAAATATATTTTTCTACATTAAAGAGGTTAAATACCTTGTAATAGATGCAGCAGGCAAATTCTGCTAATCTCAGATTCTTACTTGCATTTTTCTATTGTAGAATCTACCTGAAGTCTAATATTATTATATTTATGTTACCACTGAGGTATGAAGAAGATATTGCGCTAAATGATTAAAAGCAAAGGGTTGAGATTTGATTATTATGTGGACATAAGCAGATTTGGTTTGCAAGTCGCTTCCAACCGGATCCAGAAAAATATAGGTATAAAAAATATACTGCACATTTAAATCAAGGTTCGTAGCTCACTTTTTTTGTAGCTAAACACAAGCTTTCTTTATTATCCAATAGTATATGATAACTTTAATTTTTGACAAAATAAACGACTCAAATACTAACTGTTTATTTTGCATTTGTATATTGACGAGAATTGACTCGCACACCGGTTTCAATACGTTGTCAACTATAAGGTCTCGGATTCGGATAAAATTTGTTAATTAGCAGTGTTATTCTGTTATAAAAACAGCCTTGAAGTCAACGTGGAGCACAACGCTGTAATAACGAATAGGTTCAATCAAATAAAATGTACTTTTTGTAGGTAAAAGTAAAAGGTCTTTTAATTAATGCTCTATGCTGTGAGTGAAAGCGCTGAGCTCCTCTTGAATTTAACAGCACAACAGATGTCCTTAAGAAAAGTGCTTGAGCTACTTAATTCGAGATCTGAGAATACTATATGTTATATACTTAATGTAAGTACCTATGTGAGTAGTAAAATGTCCTTGCGTAGTAATAATACAGTTAAGAAACGGCAATGAGTAGACTCATTTTAAGAAAACAAAGACAAGATGGTAAAATGAAATGTCAAGGAAAATAATACTGAATGCGATGCGGTACAAAAACACGTCATCAATTTTTATAAATATTGATAGTGAATACTATGAAGACATGTTTTGCTCTTTAAATCATAAAAAAAGAGAAACTGATATTCATTATCAATGGCGAATACTGATCTTTAATATTAGTGCTTATTTTAAAACAATAGAAGACTGTAATTATTTTATTATGGATACCTCTTGTAGCACTGTGCTCTTGTAGTTAGTAGTTAGCAATAAACAAACGCTCTATAGGCACTTGAACATCTGTTTTTGGAGTATCAGGTAAGTAATTATTAAATATTTGGTAGAGCAAATAATAAATTCCGTAAAATTATATTAAAATGTAAGTTTTATATAAACATTTCATGGGTTCAAGTGTTAATATTCTCGCAAGCGAGCACTTTATGCACTGTGATTGACGGGTCAATTGACGAAAAAATATTACTTGACACTGACTTTATTTCGTTTTTGTCATGCATATTATATTATATGATACAAAGTGTCGTTACTGTTATATTTTATTATCTTCTATTGTTTTTAAAACGTCTATCACAGTGTTGCACAAACGTCCATTATTTTGTGTTACCTACTAATATTATAAATGCGGAATGTTTCCTTTTATCCCACTAAATGGTTCCTTAGGAACCACGCGAGCGAGAAGACACTATCGAAAAGCTGTTAGTATTCAATAAAAGTAATACTGACCGTAGCTTGCTGAGGAGACGTGAGCACCCTCTCATGTTTCCAAGTTTTTGCTTTTTTTATCTCCTGGAGACGATCCTCTAAAACTTCTCTTAGTTTCGCAACTCCTGCGCGTTCCTTTTTGTTTAATTCGTGGAGATTGCGTAAATTAGTGGCATTGTATACTGTAATATAAACATGAATCTGTTTATTTATCCCAGTGTGTAGGTTATTGAAAAATGAAACAATTACTCAAAAAACAAGATGCAAAAACAAACTATCAAATCGTTACGTCATATTGCATATTTTTTTTAATGTGTAGCTCGAACTTTAAGGAAAATAATGACAAACTATCGAAGACTAGGTATTTGCTGATTTAATTTCAGGGCTTTATCATGTAATTTTTCCATTCGGAATGTTAACATGGGTTTATATATTTTCCAAAATATCAAAACGCTAATAAGTACCTATAAATAAACAAGTTTCAAAGTTAAGTAGAATAGACACACCTTAAAAAGTTTAAGATGAATCTCTAGAAATGTATGTTGTTACATAGTTAAGAAAAATGAAGAGACTTTTTAAACATATTTTTGCTAAAACCACGAGAGGACGTTAATATGTATATGTAATAATAGTAATGATAACATAACACCAAGGTCAAATTCTGTATGTTGAAGCAAACCTTCTTAAAACAGATCATATATGTATTATATGCGTAAATACTATGTAAGTTAAGATACAATGTAATGCAACGTTATTTAGTGTCACGAAGGCTTATTATGAAAATTATCCTATGTCGGCAATCTAACAGCTATGTAAAAAAGGTAAAGAAACATTATATTGCCGGCGCATAGAGATAACAAAAACAAAGAATGTCATTAACTCTATCCAATTAAAAAAATATATGTAAAAAATATTTTTAAAACCTTAACCTTTATGGTAAATCAAGGAGGGTATTCTAATATTTAAAATTATGGTAAATATGCGAGAAAAACATACCTTTGCGCAGGAGTTGCGAGCGTAGAGCCATAGCGTCGAATGACGACAACTATGCCGAGTACTACCGATGCGCAACACCATTACCCGTCTACTTAGACCCTGTCTAGAACTACGTGCGAGTTAGCCGTTTATTATACATTACTCGTTGGTAAGCAATAGTATTACAAACAAATAAAACATTTGCAGTAATAAACTTGAAATAGCGTCGGAAATCGCGGCTAATACGCCTCCTCTGAACAAGGTCTTAGCAGACCCGTCACGCAGGTTTCTGTTTTAGAATCGAACACATTTTGATGTTGTTCAGCTTGGCAGTTTGTTTTATAATGTGTTGTAATGTGTTGGCAGTTTGTTACTATAAAGTCAGATATAATAAAAACATTAGGAACCTGCGGATTGATTTGCCTTAGGTAGCTAGTGACGGAAATACTGAAATATTTTCGGAGAAAAGTGACTTAGCATAAATAATAAAATATGAACATTCGTATACTGACTATCACTATATAGTATAAAACAAAGTCGCTTTCTCTATGCCTATGTATGCTTAAATCTTTAAAACCACGCAACGGATTTTGATGCTGTTTTTTTCATAGATAGAGTGATTCAAAAGGAAGGTTTTGATGTATAATACAAGACCACGCGGGTGAACTCGCCGACGGAAAGCTAGTATTCTTTAATTAAAAAAATAGATTATTTTAAAATTTAATATTTCGAGTTCACAGTGTTATGTTATTTATCCCGACCGTCTGTCTGAGTGGCGCGTCAGTGGCGAAATCTCTCGGGTTTGATTCCAATATAGAAAATGAACTTTTTAATATTGTTTCAAGTCTGAATGATGAGTTGCCTTTTTTGTTTCATATTTTCGCAATGCAAATGTCTTGGCTACACCTACGTTGATACTATATACTAGGTATATACTTGTCACTTATTTTGGAATCTGAGTGAAGTAGGAATATTATGTTGTTAAAAATATCTAAACAAACTAGTCCCAGGTGCCTTGTATAGCTCTTGGTTAATAATTTTCACATCATCGATTAAAATATAGGAACTCTAAAAATAGGTGACGAAAGAAGTACTGTCTGGATTTAATTACTTATTAATTCATAAGTTCATACAGGGGTATAGGTCTTCATAAATTTGCTTTTTCCATGTCTCCATGTCCCAAGGACGTCCCTACCCTAAATGTCGCGCTCTTGGACATTCATATCTTGCCCAGTTCAATATAAAAAAAATATTGCCTCAAGTCTAAGGAGTTTTAATAACTTTCTTGTTTTAGATTTTACTAAGTAAAACCAGGACTTTATCTGCATACTCGTTATCTGATTAATGTACAGCATGTGGGTGGCTTAACTGTATGGAATTTGTATCTACTTCGTATTATAGCAAATAAGTAGTCACAATGGTTACTATAATAGATCTGTTTTATTAAAATATGGTAAGTAAACTCCTCAGTTATAGAAGAAAATGTTGTTTGAAAATGACTCTCTGAGCTTCAGGGTTTGGTGTCAACCGAGCGAATGACTTCAACAGTTCCATGGTTGTTTCAGAGTAGCAATGTATGTATTTACGTGTAGGTTCGTCTCGTACCTATGTTGAATATTATTTTTTATAATAAATAAACAATATAATGATCAAGAAATTTATTTATATTGGATATTGTATTGAAGATGGATGTTTTGCAGCCGATGTAAACAGGATCACAGACGACTCTGAAATAAATTTTTATTATTTTATTTTTGCGCTTGATTATAATAACTATTTATTAATAATGAAGCCTGAATCTGAATAGCAAAAAGTTGTCCTAACGACTGTAACGTGACTCCAATTTTTTATTATTAAGTTTACCATTGAGTTTTAACTAAAAACATATGTTTGTATAATTTGGAAACAAAGTAAAACAAGCACCTCAGTTCCGATATGTATGGCCAGTATCATATCGTAGTCGAGGGCACCGACATAGATATTCGCGCGCCCGTCATTGCCAACCGTTACCGTCTTGCCAGTGCAAGAGTTGCCAGCTTTTACTCCGGATATGACGTCACAATATCTGCCTGCTGGAAGACAAGTCTGAAACGGAATTTAATTTAGTTTTAACTGTTCCAATTTACAGAATCCGTTAAACTATTTATCAGTAATCTAATCAATTAAGTAAGTAGTCAGAACGAATCGAACGCCAACCATTAGGACTTGTCCCAATAAGGGAGAACAAAGTTCATATAAGCATGGTAGCTGGTTTTTATTACTTTAGTGACCATCATCCAGCAATACGCTAATGTACCTACGAATCGCAAAATATTGCAAGAGTTCCCCATTTATTGTAAACTAGCGTTTTTCTGATACTTTGCCCACTTGAATTATATCCTGTGTCACCCGCATATGATGATGAGCTTTGCGTTTAAACAAACACTCAAATCTTTCCTGTTTACAATAAAAAATTAGCATTAATCTTATTCTTATTCTTATTTCACCTGCAAGTTCTGGTTAAGATCCCAAGAATCGTTGTTGAAGGCGATAAATGCGTTGCCACCTCGGCAGAATGCAATTTGGTTAAAGCCGTTCGTCCACCAGTCGTTGATACCAGTGTTGCCTGCTACATTTCTAAATGCTACCATTGCGAAGATCTGCCGCCATCTATGCTGGCACACCCAGCCGTTTCCGCAAGTACCATCCTTCAGAAAAGGTAATAATAAAGTATGGGTATAGATAAATAATATATTTTTAAAAAACACTCGGGTGTTAAATACAAAATAAAAGAAATAAATAGTAAATGTTTTACCGAGTTAAAAGATGGTGAAATTATATGTCCCTGATGATTCATAGGTGGACCAATTTCAGAATCGTGGAACGCAAAACTACTCATGATTTGAGGTTCTCCATATGGATGAGCTAATAAGAAAGCTATTGCGCCTTTGTACGGTCTAGGTTCCTTGTAAGTTAACATGGCGCCGCCGCCTCCGTGACCTCTTTCGTTGTCATGGTTATCAATAAAGGTTAAAGCATCACTGTGCTCAAGTAAGCCCCACTGAGGTCCCCAAGATTCCAGCCATTTCAATTGATTGTTTCCTCTGAATGCTCTGCTAAGTTCCATGCCAACTTTAAACTCAGTTACGGCTCCAATGGGTGTGTATTCGTCTCTGCTGATAGCTTCTCCACCATAGTCAATGACTTCCTGGTATATATACGGACGAGCGTTGGCAGGAAATCCATGTGCTGTGTTCAGATCGTTTAAACGATTATATATTACTTCGAGATCATGAGGCCACATGTGTTTGGCAGCATCGATTCTAGCGGGTAATAAAATAAACAACTTAACTTCATAAAAAAATATAATAATACCTAACGTTAAAATCACTGCTTACGTTACCTGAAACCAGCTACTCCTAGATCAATCAGGTGATTCATAAAGTTGACAATCATATTACGAACGTGTTCGTTTGCCTGGTTTAGATCCTTCAAACCGACAAGTTCACAGTTGCGCACCTTAAACAAAGAGTCTGATTAAATCTATAGTCACTTTTAGACAATATTATAATAGATAATTGATAATTTCACTGACTCTCCATGCATTGTTGACGTAGTCCATTCCATCTATGACGCAGTGTGGCCAATTAAAGTGCTCCCAGGTATAAGGTACTGCGGGGTAGTCCCAATCCCTGAAAGTGGCTGTACTACCTGCTGTACCAACGTTCTCTGGAGGTTCGCCCGTCATATGATTAATAACTGCATCAACGTAGATTCTAAAATTAATAAATATATTACAAACTGTATCATCTGTCTGTGATATAATTTGTAGTCTTCTTTCTATGTCTACTATAATACGAAATGTAAACAATAGAAATATGTAAAGGTAAATAATTGTCGAAGTGATAAATAAAAAAACGCTACCACAGCTCTACATTGAAATGTGTAACAAAAATTTTTATTACTTTACATTTTGCGTCGGATGATTTGTGTAATATGTTATGCAACATTAACATTATTTTTGTAAGTTGATTTGAAACTGATATATTATCTAATTAATCATAAACATTAAACTTAGTTTTATCTTCTCTTATGGATTCGTCTTTGGTCTTATCAAAGAAAAACAAAAAGTAAAGAATCAATGTAGACAGTGGCATAACTACAGGGTGGCAGTCAGCAAAATGCCACGGACCCCCAGTTGGAAGGGTCAGAGGAGACTTCTTTCTCCTGAAATTTTTGATTACGCAATTAGTAAAAACAATTGAATATCCGATGAATTTGCCATGGGCCTCAAACTGTATAGTCACGCCAATAGATTTATAGGATAATGCAAACATAATTTGTGTATATGATTTTCATTAAAATAAACAAATGTTCTTAATGAAAAATGCTTAAAATCCACTTATTTTAACCCTTATATTTTGACAAATACACTGAGTTAGTGGTAAAAGCAGTCGCCCAGATTGCGAAAGGTCATGGATTCGAATCTCATCACAGAGTATCAGGGACAAAGTGGATTTTTGAAGCATTTTTAATTAATAATATTTTCTAGTATAGCATTGTGAATGCGAAATTTATAAAATATAATATTTAACAAATGTTTTAAGAGATTAATTGCATTTACCTGACACCAGCGGCGTTGCAACGTCTCAACATGTCCGCGAATTGGGCTTCACCTCCCGAGCGCGTGTCTAATAAATAAGACATAGGTTGATAGCGCTCCCACCATGGACGATTGTATGTCCATAGTATTACGTTCTCGTTAGGTGGCGAGATCTTTTTTAAAAAAAAACGTATTAATTAAAAAGAAAATCGCAATGATCCCAAAATAAAGCAACCGTAATTCATTTGAAAATTACCTGAATACCACCGAAACCTCTTGGTCCTAAGAAATTTTCGCATTCCGCTGCAATGTCATCCCATTTCCATTCGAATAGGTGTACATTCACAGATCTTCCCGGTGCGTAATGGGGATTCTTGTATGCTTTAGAGAATACTGCAAGTGCCACTAGGGCCACAATTGGTGATTTAATCTAGAAAGAGAAATAAAATGAGAAGTTTTTGATAAAATAGAAAATATTCTAATATTTTTATGATGTATAATAAATAAATAGTAGCTACTTATCATAATACTAATCATTATTTTTGTTGTTGTTAAATATTGAAAATGGACCTGTTTCTATTTAAATCTTTGTCTGGATTTATGAGAAATACTACCAATTATGATCTAGGTAAAGTGGAAACGAACCATAATTTATGAAATATTAACTGTTGGAAAACTAAAATAATCTCGACCAAGCGATTAAGCTGGTCAAAATATATTGACGCACTAAAATTTTGTCCAAATATAAGTAATCTGCAGAAAGTTATCATAATTATTAAAGATTCTAATCGCTAATATTATTTTTTACATTCAGATATAATCTAATGTGATATCGCTTGCTTTTGGTTTGAAAAGTAATGTAAGTATTCGATATCCCCTAGACAGTAGATAACGTAACTATTAGAATTAATAAAGATATTATCATATATTCGTAACATAAAAAAAATAAAGTTTGGAATGGTCAACAGAGAAGAGAAATAATGAGAGATTTCCACGCGATGTCGTTCACGTAGATTATAGCTTAGATAAATCGCTTATTATATTTCATTGATTGCAATTTATTTGGTTGACATTTATCTTAAAGATAAATTTTATGTTTCTTATTTGCTAAAAAGTAAATATAATATTATTCCAAAAAATTTCGAGTAGACAAAATACAGTGACAGATTTGACAATCGATAATAATGACATCCGTGATCTAGAATCGCTTAATCGCACTGCTACTATAATGTCGTTATCTATATTAATTATATATATATATATATATTATATTATTATAGGCATAGTATTATTGTTTGCATTGAATACTACGGATTGCATTAATTTTAAAAACTCTTTCACCCACGGGAAGCAACATCATACTCGGGTGACATGGGCTATGATTTACGCCAGAAAATTTGCAAAAACAAATTATAATAAAGTTATAGGGACTATTCCGGCCTTGTTAATTAAAAAAAAATATCTATATTGTCGTGTGTCTGGATCATTAAGGTGTTTGATCAGTAACCTTTGCTGTTATCAAGTTGTTATGGATTTCAAGGCTTTTATTAAGTTGGCTTTGAAAATTAAACTGACTTACTCACGTATTGAACTCATACTGATAAAATTATGTCAAAAATCGAGAAATGGCAGACATTTGCCGTTTATAGAAGTTTTCTGTTTTTTCATAATAGTCTCTGAATATAACATTATTTGCAATCAAAAGAATAACAGAATTTCCATTCGATGGTGAATGAAAGATGATTTGAATTTGCCTTTATTATATGTTTTATATCCGCTAATTTTACAATGTAATAATTACAATACAAAGTTTAGGAACCTAAAGTTTGTATGTGTGGTCCCTATTGTGGTGATGGAGACAACTGGCCAGGGAGACTAAAGGATAATTGTCTCCCTCCGAGCTAGGTGTTGTTAGCCCGGGGACCGCGGTCCGTACAGCGCCACTTGCTGTTGAAACTTATTGCAGTTCGTTTTGCTATCGATGGCTGTGACGATGCTAGTCTTCTCGCTATCGATTGTTGTGGCGATGTTAGTGCGATGAGTTAGATGTCGCTATGTATCAGTCGCCACAAAAGTAATAAAACCTATAGTTTTAATCATATAGTTGTTTCTTTGATTTTGCTTTGAACATCGTTTTGGTGACCAACATTATTTGTTTTAAATTTAATTTTGATTATTATTTAAGCGTTTTTGAATGCTTCCTTACTTAATATTTACATAATGTATGAAATCTTTCAACCAGGGAATAGTGCAGATCATTTTTATTAAATTATTTGTGATTAATATATTTTATTTGTTTGTATATTACGTAAGCACGCACTCACATATATAATTAAGATATGGAAGAGTGGTTTCCTATAACACAGGTACTTATAGTACTTAATAGAGGAAGCCAACGCATAAATTGTTAAAACTTGTAAGCTGAATAAAAGTTATTATTATTTATTATTATATATATATTTGTTATAAACAATATTATTATACTTCATTGTTATGTCGGATTCAAGTACAGTCGGCCAAGAAAGTGGTCTACCACCCTAAGGTTGAATTTCGCGTGTTACATCAACTAACAACAAGGTTGATTTTCCGTAGCATTAATTTTTTGACACGTCAAGTACACGTCATTATTGCTATCTTCATCATTTTGACGTAACCTTTGACAGTAATTATCTATACCTATAATAAAAATGTAACAAGGTTACATTTGTAAGATATTTTGGAAAAAAATATATGGACGGCCTTCATAAGACTAATAGAAGCCAAAAATATTTTTTTTTCTGTCTGTCTGTTTGTATGTTTAAATACTTTAGAGTTAGAATATCGTAAATAAAGTCTTATAGTCTACAAATATCCTACATTAGAATGTACAATAGATTAATTATATTTTAATACAAATAAAAAAAATCAGTAGGTAGTGAAATGCTATGCGTAAGAAGCTATGCGTGATATAGGTCTGAATATACTGAGATAACGGATAACAGAAATGAATAGCGACGAAAAACATATTGCGCCGACCCATAGCTTAGTGCGAGACAAGGGTTTAAACTAGAAGAGGTAGTGAAAATGCTAATTCTTTGGTTGTTAAAAAATATATACAATTCTTTTATAAAATTATAATTCTTAAAATCTTGTGTAGCCGCCATCTGCCTCTATAACAGCTTGGAGACGTTCCCTCATCGAGCCCACCAGTCTTGAGCAGATATCAGACCCATGTGTTTCCTCCCAAACCTCATTGCAGTGCCCTTGTAGTGCTTCTGCTGTTCGTTCATTACGGTTACACCATCTCTGAACCATAAGACCCCACATATTTTCAATAGGGTTGAGATCTGGCGATTTTGCAGGCCATGGTATCAAGTTTATTTCCGGATGTGCATCAAACCAAGCACGTGTTACCCTTGCTTTATGTAAGGGACAGTTATCCTGTAAATAATTAAATTGACGCATTTCATTTTCTGGATAAACGTTCCAGACGGATGGCAACATAGCATTTTAGAGAACATCAACATAATCTGATGCCGTTACTCGTGGTGGCAAAAAGTTCAAGTCTCCAACACCATCAGCAGTCATCCATCCATACAAATTTACCGAGATACGACCCGATTCTCTATTTGGCACGACATGATTTTGCGTGTATCGCGTTTTATTGAATCGCCAAAGGTGTAGACGCCCGTGTTGACTGGATTTAAAAGTTTTCTCGTCACAGAAAACAGTGTTACTCCAATCAAAATCCAAATATTCTATGGCGAAATTTAATCTGGCCATTCTATGAGCGTCAGTCATATAAATTTTCTTTGCATAACGCCTGTGATGTAAGCCCATGTAATGTAAATGGTTACTAATGGTTTGGAGAGTCACGTCAAATATGTCGGCAAAATAACGCGTTGGTATAAAGCCAGATTCCTCATAACTCCGTCTCATGAAGACTCGCTGACTCTGAGTATCTGATATTTCAGGTCTACGACCGCTACGACTCCGAGCGTTCAAATTCCCCTCCTCGCTTTCTCGTCTTATCCAAAGACGGACAGCTTGTCTCTATAATCAAAAATAAAATATGAACAGAAAAAATAAAAATAAAAATTTATACTCGGACTTGGTCTGAGATTTTACATTAAACTCACGTCAGACAGAATAATACTTACCGACACATTTAATTTTCTAAAAATCTCACTGATATTCAAACCATCATTGTGTAATGCGATTATTTGTGCTCTTTCGTTAATGGATAAATTTCGGGGCATTGTAGTGTAAATTAATTAGGAAAATACCTACGGAAAATGCCGAGAAAATATTTGACATGAATTGTCAAGTGATATATTCTTTTTCAGTAAAAGAGTTTTCGTAACAAAATAGTTTCCACTTTGAAGTGACCTAGTTACTTAAATTTTAAATTTATGAAATATTGTGAAGACTATTTGTTGTTGCAAATTATTATCTAATGCATAGGCTGTAAAGGTCAAAATAACATTTGTGCTCTACGACAACACGTCAGCATTGTGCATCTCTTTTATTGTTTGTATGCAATAGGCTTGTGTCCTACAAGTGAAAATACAGGTTTTTGTTATATCTTCGAAAAATATGAACCATTTTAACTTATAAATGTTTAACAAAACAAATTTTAAGTCACTGATTTGGAAAATATTACGCTTTGAAAACTTGAAAAAAGTAGAGAAAATCTACTACAAAAATTTGCTAAAATACATAAGGCATTAAATTAGATATAAAAAATGTTACAACTTTCATTATAACAGCTATAAACATAAAAGCACAAATAATAAAGATATTAGAAAAATTATCCAGACGCCCATATATTTTTCGCTACTGTAGCACCATTTGACGTCACTGAGTGCCTTGAATTTGTAGATAGCGTTTTCGGCCAACAAGCAGCAGTTCTACAAACATAGCACCGTATCTCCGAAACTATTAATTGCAGACATGCTGTTACTTCGACATTATTTCTCGGATGTTAATGGACTATTTATTTATGAAATAAAAAAAAAAGTTGTCAACTAGCCTATTCTAAGATTCGCCTTTAGCGATGCTTTAAAGACACGGGAAATGTTGTCAAAACTGGTAGACCACTTTCTTGGCCGACCGTACATATTGTTCTGCTAGTGATGTGAACTCCTCATTTAATGCAATCGATACTTCTTCTTTGGATGGTGACGATTTGAGTGCACGAATTGTATACAGATCTCCTTAGTACCTTCTACAACAACCCAGTTCAAGCTATTCTTGTTTCGGAAAGTTGGTTGCTACTTTGCCTTAAATCTATTTCTTACGATCTTCCTAACTTCATACTGATTCGCAACGATCGTGCTGGCAAGAGTGGCGGCGGAGTAGCCATATATATAGCGCATAGTATTCTTTTTAAATTAATAGCTTCCTCGTCTTCTAATTACGGTTGTATGGAATACCTCTCACTCGAGATTGATGTCAAAGGCACCAAAGTGCATTAAGCCGTTGTTTATTGTCCCCCTTCTACTCCTTTTCTTTCCGATTTGGAATCTCTCATTCACTTTTACGCAACTGATTACGAACATCACATCATCATGGGCGACTTTAATACGGATCTTATAAAGGTCT